CCTACACTGAGGCACCACCTTGAGGTTATCCTTCAGCCAGCTCTGCTAACTATTCTTAAATATGTGAACTTTGTAGCTTAGTGGTACTCAGCTATCCCCACACCATGGGCAACCATACTGAGGAAGTATCAGCCTGTTTCTTTCATTTTTAGGTGCTTTAAATGTGTGAAAGCACCAGCATAATTTCTGGTTGTGTATTTCTCCTATGAGTCCATGGTCAGTTCTATGCACAGGCAAAGGAAGCAGTGGCATAGAGTTGTGGAGGATGACAAATTGTAGCCTTGCTGCTCGGTTTGCCTGAGAAGGTGAGCTGGCTATTGTTACTACCATTGAGGAGAGTGATGTCTTCTCAGAAAAACCCCAGCTGTTGAAAAAAAAAATCTTGTGCCCAAAACTTTAGGATCAACAAGTCTATACATTTGAGAATGGTTATGGAGTAAATTATGCTTTGAATTTAAAGAGAACTATGGCAAAGTGAAAACTGTTTTGTAGAAATGAGAGAAGCTAAAAAAAAATGAAACTAATGAAATACAGGGTAATGCTTTCCTTTCAGGATTACAGCTTGTGCCATGACCATGAATAAATATGTGGAGGAAAATGTTTCCCAAAAATCCTATACAACAATAAAGTATTTCATGAAGATGCTGAGCAGTGTCAGTGAGACCTTAATCTTCATCTTCATGGGAGTATCTACAGTTGGGAAGAACCATGAATGGAACTGGGCCTTCGTTAGCTTCACCCTCCTTTTCTGTTTAATCTGGAGGGCACTGGGTAAGCAAGTCTCAGATTACCTGTTGGTATTCTTTGCCAGTGAAACTTTTTACCTCCCCTTACATAGAAAATGCCAAGATTTAGGCAGAGCCCCATTAGCCTGTAGAATGGTCTTCTGATTTGTAATATGTCCTAGATGTCAGGGTCAGCTTCTACCTTCCCACACAATGGAACCCAGAAATCAGTCTGGTCCTGATCCTGCCCATTTAAAGTCAGAGGCAGTCTGCTTGTTAATCAGAGTACATGTATTTAAATAAAGATTCATTTTTAAATAAGCAAATTTTGCTTAGAAGAATTAGCAGTTGAACAACAGTAAAACAGTTATGGGTTTTTTTAAATTTATGTTTACTAGCTGTGGGATTTCCCAATCATTGGCATAAATAGCATCAAAACAAGAAATGCTGTAATTATAGTGTCATTCAGGTATGTATTGTGAATAAAAAAGTTGTGTAAAGAAGCTGATTGACCCCTCCTGAATCTGAAATGCTAGGTCTTTTTCTTTTACCTTCAGACTTAAGTGCATGTCAGGCTTGTAGATCATGCAGTTCCCTGTGTAGTGATTCTGTCTGTCTGTGTGTAGAGGTGGCTCATGCTCTGGGCTGCTGCTGCACCCCTCCTTCCAGCTCCCAAGTCTCCTTCCAGTGCAGAAATTTGGACTATTTTCTCCTGCACCTGGAACCCCACAATTAATACCTTACACTGGAAAATAGCCAAGCAGCCTGAGTCCCCTCATCTCCTGGCCCCATGCTTGCTTCCTTCACCTGCCTTTGTACCTTTACTCTAGTCTTCCACATCCCTGCAGCCTTTGCCTTTTGTGCATCAGCATGCATTGACATCTTCCCCTCCATCCCCAGTCTTGCCGCCTTCCTGTCTGTGCAAGTAAAATTAAGTGAATTAATAGGATTTTGCAGGATTCAAGGCGTAGATTGACAGAGGTGACAAGCCGAAATGTTTAAAAGCACCTCAAATCCTATTAAAAAAATATTAGGAGTCTTGGTCTATACTAACACAGGGAACTACTGCTGTCCTAGAGGTGCAGAGTCTAGCAGATAGCTGTCTTGTAGAGATCAATTAGTTGCTTTGAGTCCTAAATCCTGATGTGGTTATCTCACTAAATATGTTTAAGATGATACTCCTTAGGCATTGTGAATTTTTGTTCCATGTTGTTTTCAAGCTGCTAAGTAACATTTCATTTCTCCAATTATACATAAGGAAAAAATATTTTTTTAAACCAAATATTAATATCGTGGAGTATTTATATGTGATTTTAATTTCCCTTTTTTTCTCCCATCCTTTTTTCCCCCCTTCCTGTCTGCATTTCTGTGGGGTTTTTTTGTTGTTTTATTTTTTTCCCTCAGGTGTTTTTGTTCTGACTCAGATCATAAATGTATTCCGGACAATTCCTCTCACTTTTAAGGACCAATTTATTATTGCCTATGGAGGCCTCCGAGGAGCTATTTGTTTTTCACTTGTATTTCTGCTTCCTCCTGCTGTGTTCCCCAGGAAGAAATTGTTCATCACTGCTGTTATTGTGGTGATATTCTTTACTGTTTTCATTCAGGTAATGCCTTTCCTCTTCTAGACTTATTCTTTCTCAGACAGATTGTAAATAAGCAATGGGCAGAAAAACAGATGTCCTAACTTACTGGTAGGAACATAATTGAAGGTACACTTCATGGTTGTAGTTTAGGAAAAAATGGTATGCAGATGGAAGAGAAGTAGCAAAAGTATGCTTAGATAATAAGTACTTACGCTAACACATAAGTAGTACTAAGCATTTAAGACCTAGTGAGGTTGGAGCAGAGATAAAAGATAATCTGGGTACAGCCCCAGCACTAATTCCTTGTTAGAATATTTCAAGTTGTGCATTTACACAGGACTTTGGTGTTGGATACACTGCACAGTGAGCAAGGGATGGAAGACACTGAGGGCACTGAGAGGTGGACTGGAGTGTGTGAGTCTGAGTGTTAGACAGTGGTGCTGCAAACCAGCTGGACATCCATGCATAAGGTGTGTGGAAGATTGTTAAGAACTTGTGAGGCCACAGCTTGAGTACTGTGTCCAGTTCTGAGCCCCTCACTTCAGGAAGGATGTAGAGCTTCTGGAACGAGTCCAGAGAAGAGCTACCAAGCTGGTGAAAGGTCTGGAGAATAAACCCTATGAGGAGAGGCTGAGGGAAGTCAGATTGTTTAGTTTAGAGAAGAGGAAGCTGAAGGGAGACCTTATTGCTCTCTACAACTACCTGAAAGGATATAGTGCTTAGCAGCATGATTTAAGCACTGATTGGGTAGGTTAGCTTATGGTAGGGGGATTTAGGTTATGGTTGTACTGGATGATCTTCTGGGACTATTCTGTCCAGGGTTAGGACTCTAGCGTTAAAGGTCAAGTTTTAAGGATCTAGGTATAAACATCTAGATTAAATGGTCTAGGGTTAAGGGTCTAGGGTTAAGGATCTAGTGTAAGGGTCTACTGTTATAGGTCTATGGTTAAGCGTTGGGGGTAAATGATCTAGCTGATGGGGTGGTGTTAGGTCATAGGCTGGACTTGATGATCTCAAAGGTCCTTTCCAGCCTTGGCAATTCTGTGATTCTGTGACTCTGTCTGTGGTGTCAGCACGGCCATGGAGACCTGGTTAGAGTGATCAAGAGAGAGGGACATGACTGAAACCAGCAAAATGTAATGGAGATTAAGCCTGCCAAAGAAACATGTGGGTTTAGTCATTATCCAGAATGTTGAGAAAGATGTGAGGCTACTACATGGAGTTTCAGGTCTGTGGGAAAAAAAAGTAAATAAAAAAATTAACCTTCCTTGTACATGAAGAAAGGTGTTATGGGAAGTAATAAGTATCTATGGTCATGCTTGGGGAAAAGATAACTGGAACAATAGGAGGTCAGTTAGCTGACCTTAGCTTGTAATATGTGAAAAATTATTTTGAAGAATAGAATAATTTAAAATATGGAGGTAAATGGAATGTGTTATGAAATGCAACACAGTTCAAAAAAGGGAAACCTGCTATCATTCTTTGTTAAGGCAGTTTCTTTTCTAGAGAGTTCATCTAACTAGACTATTGTAAGATCTTTGAAGGAGGGCACTGCATAGGAAGTTGTTAACTACTCATTAAACTGAGGTTTATATTGACATTAGAATAGTTGTAAAGTGGATGAGAAAAGAACTGACAGTTTCTCCTATAAAGGGGAACAGAAGCATATGGTCCTTTGGGTCAGAGAGGACCTCTGGGCGTCTCTAGTCCAACCCCATGCCCAAAGCAGGTCGAGTTTCAAAGTTCGATCACATTGCTCAGGAACATGTCAAGTTGCATTCTGATTATCTCCATGGATGGAGGTTCCCCAGCCTCTCTGGGCACCTGCTCCAGCATTCGACGATCCTGGTCAGATGATAGGCTGACAAGATGTTATTAATGGAATTCCTCAAGGATAGTTTCTGTGAATAGTTTTGTTTAGTTTTCGTGTTATTGACCATGGCACATAAATGTAGGAGTTTTTGGCATTGATGTTTCTTGATGACACCCTTTGGAAGGTGTTTTCAGGGTGAAAGTGAGATGCAGTATCATGTAGAAAGAGGAGCATTAATTGAGGGCAAGCATGATAGAGACAGAATGAAATTTAACAGTAATAAGTGTGAACGTGTTCTTGCTAGGACTTTCTTACTAGGGATTTCTCTTACAAAATGGGAAACTGTCATTTGGAAAAGAATAGAAAGGTGAAAAGACACAGGCGTACTAGTTGATAACAGGGTTGAGTTTAAGCCCTCAGTGCAGTGAGGGACAGAAGAAAGGCATATCTGCACTAAGACATACTGAGACAGGTATTTCCATCAGAGAATGTCATGTTCTACAGCGATCATGGGAGTGGTAAGCCTGTCATGTGGAAGGAGACCAGGATGCCTTGGCCTTAGCAAACTGAAGGAGAAGAGGGAATAGAATTACTGTTTATATCAGGGAGTGAATACCAGAGAAGGAGGAACACTGTTTAAACAAAAAAGACAAATGTTGGCACAAGAACAAAGTGGTACAATGTGACCATGATGCAATTAAGAAAGCAGCTTTCTAATTATCAGAACAATAAAGTTCAGGATGAGTGTTCCATGAGCAATGGGGCAACAAAACCTAACTACTTTTAAGATAACGCTCAATTGATTTACGAAAAGAAATATGTGACCTGGTTGTCTGGGATAGTAGGGACTTATGTCAACATGATGAGAGATTCATTTCTCTCTCCTGTGCCAGTGTGCCTATACAAATAAACAAATTATGTCAATTCTTCCACAAATAATTGTTCAAAACCATTATATCATTCCAGGACAGCCAAAATTTTGTGTTATTTCTCTAAGAACAGTCAGGCAAGGACACATATTTACAAGAAGTCTTAGTGTCAGGAGTCCTGAATAGCAATTTTAGTGCTACTGTTGCCACATCTTTAAGATTCCACCTGTTGTGGAAGTAATCACTAGCAAAGAGAACTTAATATATTTGCTTTGGCATGACAGGGGATCTGTTTTTTAATTTAGAAAACAAGTGAGGGGTTTTCTAATACATAATAGAACTGAAAAAAAAGTTTAAAGATACTATGGATGGGGCAATTGTCATATTCCTGATGGGGTCTGCCAGGTTTCCCCTCTTGGAGCCCCTTGCTTCATTTTGTTGCATTAGTGGAGTCTGTGTGATGACAAGGACTTAACAGCAAATAAACTATTATAACACTATTATATGATACTAGGGTCAAGCTGGATTTGGGGGTTAGGAAAGTAAAAGGGTATCCATAAAGACCATAAAGACCATTTTCAATCCTCTGACAGGAGTGGAAAAGACTGAATGTCTTTGGTTTTTCTTTGTGTTATGGAAAAAAAAACAAACAACTATTTTTTTTCCCCCTTCTTCATAGGGAATAACAATTCGCCCACTGGTGGAATTTCTTGATGTGAAAAGGTCAAATAAAAAGCAGCCTGCTGTCGGTGAAGAAATTTATAACAGGGTATGTTGCAGCTTCACTGTCATAGATGAAACCCTCATATAGGTGAAATTTCTACTGGCTTTCAGCACGATGACGATTCAGCACACAGTATTACAGAGAGACACATGCTTTTTTAGATTTCTTTTTGATAGCTGTTATAAGCACAATAACTGTAAAGCTTATATTTAACTTTTGGCAATTATCAAAATTAGCGTTACTACATATCACTATTTTGGAATCTTCACTTTCTTAATTGTTCACCTCTTAAGCTAAATTAACTTTCTATAGTTTGTTTCACATATGAGATATGTGTTATTTTAGAACTTGGCTACATTAGGAAACATTTGCCAATTTAATTGCATTCCATTGCATTTGAGCTAGTCTAATGAAATAAATTCAAACTCCTTCTAAACGCACTCTTAAACTTACTAAACTCTCACATCATCAGCCTCTTTGTGGATTTGCATTTCATACATATATGTCTCCAATTATTGCAGTGCATTAGCCATGCATATTCTTGAATGTATATCTCCTTGCAGCATACTTGTGGCAGGTGGTTTGAAATTCTAAAAATGAGGAGTAAGAGCTACATTCAGCAAAGAAGTCAATGTAGGCATCTAAAAGTCGATCCGTTTGGAGCTTATCCTTTGGAAATATATGCCAGGATTCATTCCTGAATTTGAGAAGCCCCTACTATGGTACTTGAATTAAGAGCAAGAAAGCTGCCTCTGGGAATCAAGTGAGATCTTAGCAGAACTGATTCATTGCTTCATAATTCATAATAGACTGAGGAAGAGTGTGTTTTTAATATTAGACCACAATCCCCTAAAACAGGAGCTCAGGACCTGATGCTGGGTGTCTCAGCTCTGTCCTGTACATCCTGAGAGGCCGGTGGTAATGCCAGGAGCTGCTGCTCACTCAGGCTCTCTCCTCTGTAAAGTCATATTTGGTTCACTGTCAGGCCTGGGGAAGTCCCTGTAGAAGTCCCAGGCATAGTCTTGAATGGTTAGGGAATTTAAAATAAATAAAAATATGGGGGGAAGAGTAACCTCCAGATTCAGGTAGAAGCTGAGAAAGACTGATGTTGAGGAACTTAGTAACTACCTTCTGTCCTTTTGGGGCTGTGAGCTGAGGAAGCTCCAAGGGAACAAAGTCTGGCTCTGAGTTTCATTAGACTGCATTTAGTTAAACTGAAGTGTCTTGAATTCAGATTAGACTTTTCTGGTTTGAAGTGTTAGAAATTAATAATATCTAAGGGAAAGCCAAGAGATGTCTGTAAATTTATGTAATGAATCAACATTTTCCCTTTAGTTCTTTGACCATGTGAAGACTGGAATTGAAGATGTGTGTGGACACTGGGGTCACAACTTTTGGAGAGATAAGTAAGAATGTAATTTGAAACTTTTGTTATATAGGAGAGGCCAGACTGGCTCAGCAGCAACAAACGAAGGCTGTTAGGCATCAGATTTCATTTTCAGCATTTTTTTCTTCAAAGCAGATAGTTGTTTTTAGAAAGTGTGGATAAAAAAGGGAAAGGAGCAAAACAATGTCTTTTTACTAAGCCACAAGCAAGTAGAACAAAATCTCCAGCTGGAAAGAAAAGCAGTTCTCTGATCCCAGGGTAAAGGATTGTACCTTGTAAGGGTGCCTGTCTTCTCCCTCTTTTCTGACTGTTTCAGAGCATTTCATGTATGCCTGCTGAGCCTTTCTTCCCATCCAGCTTTCCTCCTAGAAATTGTACATTTCTGTGGTGTTAAATTAGGGGTTACTTCCCTATTTGATGGGAGACATATGAAAGCTTTCAGGCTTTCTCTAGAAAGATCAAGGCACTAGCTGATATGCAATGCATGAGAGATCCTACTGGCAGGCAGCTCCACAGTTGTTGATGGTATTATTTAAGACTTAGAGTCAGTTAAGATTACCACTGGCAATACCTGAGTAATTCCTGTTTTCAGTTTGGCTGCTGAATCATCATAATCATCATTGGTTTGGATATAACTCCTTTTTCTCAGAAGCACATTCTTTTACACTGAAATCCTTTAGATCCAAAGTTTGGGCATTGCTCAACCATCTTTTAGTCGCTGCTCCAACAAGAATTTAAGTTTTCTTCAAAGAGAACTAGCACCAGCAGGAAAGGCTGAGAAGAGCCCTCTTCAAATGATGTGAAGGCATGACAGTGAGGACATTCAGACTGTATGGGTTCAACTTTCCTTTCCTCAGCCTAGTTCTCCTCCAATCTGTGTGAGATCTTTAATTAACAGATTACAGAGTTGAGGAGGGTCCCACCTCTTCATGACCTTCTGAAACATTTTTGACCCAAATTCAAGAATAACTTTAGAATGACCAGAGGGCAAAGTATTTTGTGACAAACAAGATCTCTCCAGCTATAATCAATATTTTTTCACTAAGCATTCAAGAGGGTTGCAGTTGCTTTAGAGGAAGGGAGAATTTCCAAAGTTTTACAAGAGTAGGCTAAAATTTCAAAGAAAAAGCAGTCAATGCAAATTTAGACCTTTTATTTGTTATTACAGTAAATATTTAATGTTCTCTTTGCCTTGATGAAAGTGGAGAATTAAAAATAATATTGCCTAATAACAGAATATCTAAAAGATGCTGCTAGGGAGACTGTCCATTAATATATTAACTAAAACACAAGTTAATACTATATAGGCCACATAAAAACATACCAACATAAGAAAGGATCATGTTCATCATTTTACTTAACAGTAGGCTGTTAATGCGAACAGACACATTCCCAGGAAAGAAACTAATTTACAATTGCATTAGCTGCAGTATATTGGCTTTCCCTAACTATGCACAGTAACAATTAACTGGTTGGGTTGGTTTGCTTCACATAAAGGTTTAAGAAGTTTGACAATAAATACCTGCGAAGACTTCTAATCCGGGAGAACCAGCCCAAATCCAGCATTGTTTCTTTGTATAAGAAGTTGGAAATCAAACATGCCATTGAGATGGCAGAGAGTGGAATGATAAGCAAAGTCCCATCATCAGTGTCTCTCAGGTAAGAAAACAATGCCAGTGTGGTCAAGCATTTCAGCTGGGTCACATAATTTATTTCACTGCCCAGTCTGTAGGGAGAATCATAGACTCACAGAATGGTTAAGGTTGGAAGGGACCTTAAAGATCATTGGGTTCCAACCTCCCTGCTATGAGCGGGACACCTCACACTAGACCAGGCTGCATCCAACCTGGCCTTGAACACCTCCAGGGAGGAGAAGTGGCTTATTCCAGTGTTTTACTAGTCTCATTGTGAAGAGTTTCTTCCTGGTGTCTAACCTTGATCGTTCCTCTTCCAGTTTGAAACCATTCCCCTTCATCTTATCACTACACACCCTTGTAAAATACCCCTCCCTAGCTTTCCTGTAGGCCCCTTCAGGTATTGGAAAGCTGCTATAAGGTCTCCCCAGAGCCTTCTCTTCTCCAGGCTGAACAGCCCCAACTCTCTCAGCCTGTCTTCATGGCAGATGTGCTCCAGCCCTTTGATCATGTTTGTGGCCCTCCTCTGAATAATCACTTTGACTTAGGACACTTCATGTCCAAATGTCACCTGAACAGTAAGTGGATGTGAAATGAGAGTGTTTTGCCTGCAGCTCACAGATGAAGCACTTGGTGAGCTGTCCTTATCCAGAGCTGGTAGTTTTACAAGGGCAGCTGGTCAGGGAAACATTGATTTGCCACATAGAGTAGAGCTGGATTTGAACCAGTGCCTGCCCATCTGCTGCAAACAGCTACAGGGGAAGCCTGAAGGGCTTACAATTTAATGTAAGTTGCATCATATTTGGGAGACTGAGCTTGAAGTCTTGCCATTGACTCAAATGAGATCAGGGTTTCATTCCTACATGTTATGCTTTTACCTCTTCCTGGATCATTTTTAAATGCTTTTTGCAGCACTAAAACAATAAAAACATTCTTCCTCTCTCTTTCCTCCACTTTATTATTTTATTTTTTTTTATCCTAACACAGTGAATATCATGAAGGAAAGATAAAGCCACTTTCTCCCACTGAAATGGAAAACATGCGGGAAATCTTAACAAAGAATCTCTACCAAATACGACATCGAGTAAGGATGAAGTTTTGCAAACTTAAACACCCTGCTTCTCTTTGAATATACTGATTACCTTCCTAACATACCTTTCGGCTAGTTTATCTGATGTACTATAGCGTAGAAATTCTACTGCCTGTGAATCCATGTCCTACAGCAACATATTCATACTCCTTCATATAAGTGGCTTACTTGATCTTGTAGTGTTGATAAAGCTTAACATGGGGATTTTTTTGGTCATATTACCTGCAAAATACTTACATTATTTAAAAAGAATCATAGGTGCAAATTCAGTCCAACACTGTCCACTCATATCAGTGTATTTTTGGTCACTTCATGATATAGGATTAGATTTCCCGTTTGCCTCTGGTTCTGAAGTTGCTTGTATTAAGAGCAGAGGTGATGAGCTGGAAAAACAGTGAAATAAAAGCAAAAGGACATTTCACATTTACCCTCCTGTGGCTAAGTAGTTTGTATGCCTGAGCCCTTGGAAAACATTCAAAAGTAGAACAAGCTTCAGCTTGCTGGAAGTAAAAATTAGTTCCCCCTAGGTGACTCATTGCTTTCAAATGTGCGTCCTCTACTGACATACTGACCGAGCTAGTATGATGTGGGGTAAATGCTGTATTAAGCCAGCTTTTTCCAATTTCTCTTTCATTATAAAGACCATCAGGTCAAAGAAAAAACAACCCCAAACAAAACAGGTGCTTGTGAAGCAGATAGCTAAAGAAATGCTGGCACAATTGTTGTTCTTAATCATAGAATAGCAGAATGGTTTGGGTTGGAAGGGCCCTTAAAGATCATCTAGTTCCAACTCCCCTCAATATGATTTTGTTCAAAAGGTTTTTTGATGCTTATTAAAATATTAAAGCAAAAAGCCTATTTTGCACTGTACATATGGTTTAATACACTTGACATTATTGTTTTCAGAATGTGACCACTGGTTTTCTGTTGCAGACCATGTCATATAATCGACATAGCCTGGCTGCAGATGCAAATGAAAAGCAGGCCAAAGAAATTCTGATCCGTCGCCGGCACAGCCTCAGGGAGAGCCTGAGGAAGACAAACAGCTTGTCAAGAGAAAGACCGGTACTTGCATTTTGATTGTTTTATAGAAAGCAGTACTTTGTAGCTAAATGTCATGCAGAAAGAAATCTTCTGAAATGCAGAAAAACTAAATCCTAAGTTGGGAAGACAACTGCACATACAATCGCAGAGTCACATAATCACCAAGGCTGAAGAAGACCTTTAATATCATCAAGTGCAGCCTATGACCAACAACACCACGTCGGCTAGACCATGGCATCCAGCCTTTCCTTGAACACATCCAGGGACGGGGCCTCCACCACTTCCCTGGGAACACCATTCCAATGTCACGCTTACACGTAGAGTTGCACATGTGTTGATCTTTTCAGCAAAGCTTCAGTCTTACAGAATGTGCTATGGGAGGGGGATCTGCTGCCATAATTTTATCTCAGAGGAGCTGGACAGGCTCTGCACACAGTGTACTTCTAAGGGATGGTCAGTATTCTCTATTGGTATTTTGATGAAGCGTGGAAGAACAAGGTCGAAAATTACTTTGAGACAGAGAAACTACACACAGTATGCTCCAAAATATGGGAAAGAGAACTTTTATCAAGTCAGTCAGAATGAGCTCTTCATTTGAACAATGTTTTGGGCTCTTTAGAATTAATAAATGTAGCAAGGACTTCAGATTTTAACAGAAAAGGAGACCGCCCTCCACCTACAAGAAATGCTGTGGCATGATAATATTTGGGTCTCTGAGACAATCCTGCAAGATGCTCACTGTAAACTTCAGTCCCTATTTGAAGGAGCACACTGATTCAGCAGAGAAACTGATCACATTTTCAGTATCAGGGAAATTAACCCTCCTATAAATATGTATTGTCATGTGGCAGGAATACTTCCTGACTGTCATCTTCACTGACACATTTGTACATTACAGCTGAGGCTGTAACAATGTTTCCAATAAGTGCTATATCTCATTTGTGATCATTACCAGGGCTACTCTGGTATTAATAGTGACAATGTCTGTTTCTGTTTTGTTTTTTTTTCCTCTAACCAAGGTTACATATGTTACTAGGTGGAATAACAGAGAGACACAGCAGGATTGAGACATTTTTTGCAGCAGGGAGAGAAACAGGTATTTTTTGCAGCAGGGAGAGAAACAGGGTGCATTTTTAAAATAATTATTCTTGGATAAATCCACCAGGGAGAGAAGCATAGTGGTCCTGAGCAGCACTACAATATCCAAAGAGGAAAATTTCTCCTGGAAAATGAATTTCCTGTCAGGTTCCCTTTGAGTATGCAACAATGAATGGCACAGAGAAGAGCTGGTATACTGTAATGGTTTTAAAAAGATCTTTGTAACAAGGATGCCCTTGAGGAACTTTTCAATTTAAAAAAAAAAAAAAAAAAGTAACCTGCCCTGGAAAACACCTCTCCTGTACCAGGAAGCATGAGGTGTGTTTTGCTCCCAGGGACTTTACAGCTTAGTCTTGGAAAACAAGGGGCTTATGCCCTGAACTGGTAAATGATCATGCTGCTCCCTAACTTTCCCATCAGCCTCAGTGTGACTAGTCAACTGTACAAAGTCATTTATATGTATAAAGCCCTGGCAGGATCAGAATACAGATTAGTTCTTGCACCTGAGCTTCAGTCTCAACCTCATTTTTGTAGCTGACTAATAAAAAGTTTCAAACTGGAGCTGCGTGAAGTCATGCTATGTTTGCCTTCCTTAGAAAAACTTGTACAGGTAAGGCTAGAGAACATACATTTTACTAACTTTGACCTCAGAGAGCATATCACTAGGCTTTCCTTTGATTAATCTGCTTGAGATCACTCAGTATTTACTGTAGTTAGCACAGACCTCAACCAGCAATCAGTGTTAACTTGAGTGTGTAGTAAAAGGTCACATATTAGCTAATCCCAAACTACTCTCCAAGCCCTTCAGCTACATAAACCTGTTCAAGCCTCAGTTGTGTATCTTAACATACATTTTGCAGGTAATTCAGTCTGCAGTCACTGACCATTTCTTATATTACTTTGTATGCAGGCTGCTGCAAATACAAAAAGATTCCTTTCACTTCCTAAAAACACTAAACTCCCAGAGAAACTACGAGTGAGGAATAAAACGTCTTCCAAAGGTAATGAAAAATGTTCTGCTCTTTCTTACTGTGCTGCACTTTCCCTATGTAGAAAGAAAGTTTTTCCTGGGATGGTATAGATAAATCAGCATATTCATTTTCAAATAAATACTAAATGTTATATGTGCATGTGCTTTCTTTCTATAGTTAATACCATCACAGTATATTTGGATTTTAGAGCATTAAAGCAATGGGTCCAAAAGCTGATAGTTGAGTGCAGAGAAGTGCCTCTGCAAGCAGTCTTGTGGTTGTTTCTCAGTTCAGATGCCATAGTGGCATAGTCTTCCAGCACATCTCCTTGTGTCAGCAAGCAGCAGTTGAAACACTTCTGCACCAGAAACGTTGCCGTGGCTTAGTCTCCTTGTACTTATTCCAAAATGTCCAGATCTTCTTCTTGGATTATGAGCCTATTTGTTTTCTTTTCTCACTGAGGTCAGGATAGAGGTCACTGTTCTGAGAACCAAACCAGAGAAGAGAATGAGGACATGAGGTCTGGTTTATGGTTGTCATGAAGAATTTCCCAAAATGCTGTGGTTTACAACCAAAATGTCAATTATTTCTTTTATGCCTAAGCTCATAAACAGTTGTTTTATACTGGAATTCTTGAATTCTAACAAAAAAGAAGAAATCTGTAGGAAGGCAATCATGTGCCATGAAAACTTTGCCCAATTCTACTTTTGATTTTTACTGATTGCCTTTCCATGTCAATACCATGCTCAGGAGCATTCTGTTTTATGACAGGCAACCATCAAGATCTCTTGCTGGGAAGATGGAATCTCTGCACAATCATTAAAATGTCTTGATCCCCATCCCAATTGTTTTCCCACTCTTCCAAATTAATTTAGCAATAGACCTTGTTTTTTCTCTCTTGATAATTATGTCTTTGCTGTGTAGGATACTTTTTATTCTGTAGTTATGTCTGCAGAGGTCACCTACTGTCACCTATAATTAAAAAGGAAATCTGCCTCCAGATTATTTAGTTGTCAAAAAATATATTAGTTGACATATTGGGGGGGGGGAGCCTGTAAATACAGTCTGATAAAGACTTTTCTTGACATATAATTATCTGGGTGAATGGACGATTATGTACTGTTATATATTTGTTGACCTCTTCCTCACCTTTTTAAAAGAAATAACATGTAGGTTACTAATAGAAGTTGTTCTTATGACAGTTGCACAATACACAATTTGCTTTGATATATTTAAAACATTGGATCTGATTTAAGTTTGAGAACAAATTTCAGGCTATTCATAAATGATTGTTAAAATGATTATCATATTACTGAAGCGTGGAAGTTTTGAGAAATATGCTAATCAATTTAAAAGAAGTCTGCTGGGGAAAGTATGTGCTCATGTACACATCCAGGAAGTTTCCAGCTTGGTTTACCTGACAGCGATCATATAAGAACATTTCCTGAATTATTATGCCAGCTTTTCCTTGACCATTTTCTACCCTGCTGTGAAGGAGTCTGCAGCACTTTCAGTGTATGAGCTTTGTGCTATGAATTTTCTTTGATACCTTACATTCAGGCATATTGAGAACAGTATATTTCTTCTCCTCTGAGCATTTACCATGGGAGATCTGAAATCCTTTGCTCAGTGGACTGTTGACTTGCCTTTTCCAAAGTCAGATTTCTGGAGCCTCTGTACATATTGTGCTATAGAAATTCCTCTCAGACTAGATTTCATTGGATGTGAGGGTGAGGAATCCCATTTCTGTATCCTGCTTGGACATAAGCAGGGACTAGACCCCAGATAGCTCAGAAAGAGTCAGATTTTTCCATGTCCAGAGGAAGAGCTGGGGAAATATCAACTCGAATGGTGATTAAGGAGAAGCTGAGTAGGGGCTTTCTAAAAATCACAGTTTTGAGTGGAGGGATGTTTGTAATTCAGATTTGTTCTCTGTCCTGTCAGACCTAAGTGTCTGTCATTAGGTCTAACCAGAAAGCCCTGGGAAGCTTTCTTCTATGGCTATTAGTGCTCTGTGTGGTCTTATTCAAGTATTTCTGAAACTGCAACCTTCTGCGCCTAAAATTTAAATTTTGTTTTCAATTAACAGTGGGTGACAGCAGTGACTCTGAGCTGGATGCTGCTACCACAGTGCTCAATCTAAGACCCAGAGCAGGGAAAATCTTGAGAGACCAGAGACTGAGACAGCAGAGACCACCAGCACCTGAGTTTAGGGTGGAGTGGAAGAACGAAGTTGATGGGGGCCAGGATGGACGAGGAGAGCAGCAGGAGCCAAGCACCTTGCCTCAGCCATCCATTGCGTTCAGGCAGCCACTGCTGACCAGACCAAGATTTGGCACTTTGAGCAGGGAAGATTTGACTGCAGACCATGGGCCAGCAAGACCTATGCCACCACCACGGTTAGTTAGGCAGGTATCACAAGGAGAAAGGCAGAGAAGTAAGCCTGAGAACCAGCCATACTAAACATAGCAAAAAAAAAGAATAATGGTAATAAACCATGGACATATTGAATTAGGATTCTAAGCTATCTGACACGGGATCCATTAAAATAATGCAACCAAGCCTCAGTGTGGATCTAACCACTTCCATTTGGGTAAAGTCAAAGCCATTAACTAAGTAAAAAGAATACTGGAGCAATTGCAAAGCTGAAGACATAAAAGATAAAAAAAATTAATTTATAAATAACTTACGGCAATGCTTTAATTACATTATTTCCACTATTAAGATAGGATGGAAATGTGCCTTATCACATCATCTCTTGTGGAACCAAGTCATACAGGTTCAATACCCAGTTATCCGTTGAAAATCATTGTTGAAAGTACAGTGATGAATGGGTTCTTAAAAAACTTCTGTATCATTTCAGATTTTATTTATAATCAAATAATACTTGTTTTAACCAGAGCTTTAACATGACTAACAATGAAAATTGCACAATGCACCTATCATATAGACTCTGCAAGAAGAATAAATATATTCCTGAAGTCCAGTTTGTTCAAAGAGCTGTGATGCAGAAAAAAAGAAGATAAGAAAGAAGCTGCAGGAGCAGAATTGCAAATACAATTTATAGAGAGGAGTTGCAACAGGAACAAGACCTGAATAGCTTGAATTTTTACCTTATGAATTTTTGGCAATATGGAACCTTTGCAAGGTACCGAGGATCACCAAAGGAAATCTGCAGTACCTTGACTTTCAATGATGTTAACAAGGGCTGAGAGCACCTAGGAGGACACCAGAAGTCCTAAAAAGAGAAAGTTACAAGTGGATAAATAATGTTCTTACTCAAAATTGCTTTTTTGCACCTTATGTTCTTGGTTGCAATGCAAACACAGAAGTAGAATAGTTGCAGAGCGCTGCACGTAGACAAAGCGAGCAGTCTCCTGTCTGAGTCAGGGACCACTGAGACTCCAGAAAGCTTGTTCACTCATGCTTGTGACCCTGGTCAACGTGTTTTACCTTTTGTTTCCTCTATTGTAAAAGGGGAAAGATAATCTTTTCTTTGTCAGAGCTATGCACTCCAAGGAACAAAAATGTTCCGTCTAATTTGTTTGTACAGAAAAGTAGCACAGCAGGGCCCTGGAATCAGTTTGAGTCACTGTGCACCTCAGTAACACCCATAAGAAACACGGACTTCTTCATCCTAGCATAAATGGCTGCCATTTGAGTGCATATGGGAAGGAAGGGTGCATTAAAATAAATTGTACTTAACTGTAGCTCTCAGGAATTTGCACTTTCTGTCCCACTTAACCTGTCTTAAGTTTTGAGCTTGCTTTAGCACAGATACACATTTCAGCAAAATGCAGAAATCATTTTCTTTCTATTTGTTAAAGGATTGATAACTTAAATTGAAGAATGTACACTGTGAAATCATAACTTTTCTTCTTCATTAGAACATTTCTAAATCTGTGGGCAATAAGATTAATTTTTTTTTTTTTTAATTTAAGCTTGTTTTGAAAGAACTATTAAAAATCAGAATTTCCTTTTAAAATCACAGGGTAGTTTTCTTTCAAATGTTTATGGGTGGGGTTGATAAATTCATTTTATAAATGGGGTTTAAGTCTTTCCTTCTCGTAACAGCTTTTCCAAAATATTTATTTCATGTACATATTTGAAATATCAGACCTTTCTCAACTCTTTTATTGACACAAGTCTATTGGTATTTTTACTCTGTTCCAACTATGGAAGTTTCTCCTGTGTGTCAAATGGAAACTAAGCTGCTGTGTTAACCCTAGAAATTTCAGTCAAATGATCATGGCTATTCTCAAAACATTATTTTTGTGGAAGGCAATACTTAGCTATGCTAGAATGATTATCTCCTCTTTGGAAATAAAACTGGGTTCAAACAAAGCTGAAAAACTTTAAAAACAAATTTGAATATGTCTTTCAACAAGAAAATATTTTTTTGTTAGTAAAATTGCCAGTGAGTACTTTGTCACTGCATTATTGGGATCATTCTTGAATAAGAAAGAAGCCTTGAGTCTGGATTTCAGTTTTGAAACCATGTCCTCCTTGCAGATCAGACTGTTTAGATTAGATGTTTTATCTAAAACCTGAAACCAGACCAAGTAACTAAATAAATAAATTTAAGATGTTGCACATCAACATTTAACTTTACTCCCTGTAGAATTTTCTCATTCATGTGCTGATGATGACCAAGCAATTGGCTTGTATCTGAGGAAAGCTGCCTTTTTTTTTCTCCTTTTAAATGGTTGTAATTTTTTATGGCACAATTGTAAATAATGAATGCAGGTTTCAGGAACCTTACTCCTTTTCTGGTTGTCCATTAGTACAGTACACACCCAGATCACTGGTACTTTAAGTGGGTGCCCTGTAATACAAGCACATCAAATTGAAGGTCATGGTTATGAAATATGGTCTTAAGCTCTTGGTGCCTCAAAACATGCCAGCCCATTGTTACCTTTCCAAAGAACTTTGAGGTCTACAGAATTCAAGCATGAAGGCAGATCTCTAACATGGTCACGCTGTGAAGCAGGATCACAAGTCTCCTTGCAAATGTTCTGTCCCTTCCTCATTCCCACTCCTCCCACCTTTTTCAGGCTCTTTTCCTCTACTGCTGGGTCAGACCCTCCTCCTCTCTGGGAACTCTCACTTTTCAGTAATGACAGCAGCAGATGACACAGGCTGTGTACCAGGTAGCCCTTCTAATTGAGTTATTGCTCTGCTTTGGGTCAGAGGTTTGCCTTTATATATATATATAATTTTTTTTATTTTTATTTTTTTCCTTGTCCTGCAAAGAATTAAAGAGGAAGTGGTCAGAGACCTACTACACCACTTAGACACACACAAGTCTATAGGACTGGATGGGTTACATCCAAGAGTGCTGAGACAGTTGGCAGATGTGGTCACCAAGCCACTTTCCATTACTTACCTGAATTCCTGGCTAACTGGTAAGGTCCCAGTGGACTGGAGGGTAGCAAATTAACACCCATCTGTAAGAAAGAAAGAAAGGAGGATCAGGGAAACTATAAACCTGTCAATCTGACCTCAGTACCAGGGAAGGTCATGGAGCAGATAATTTTGAATGTTATTAGAAGACATACAGAGGATAACCAGGGGATCAGGCCCAGTCACCATGGGTTTATGAAAGGCAGGTTCTGCCTGATGAACCTGATCTCCTTCTATGACCTGATGACCCGACTACTGGATGAGAGAAAGGCTGTGGATATTGTCTCTCTGGACCTCCAGAAAGCATTTGACACTGTTCCCCATAGAACTCTCATAAAAAACTGTCTGCTCATGGCCTGGATGAGCACACGATCTGTTGGATCAAGCACTGGCTGGACAGTCAGGCCCAGAGAGTGGTGGCCAATGGAGTCAAACCCAGCTGGGGCCAGTCACAAGTGGTGTCCTCAGGGCTCAGTGTTGGGACCGTTTCTGTTAAACATCTTTATTGATGATCTTGATAAGGACATAGAGTGTGTTATCAGTAAGTTTGCAGATGACACCAAGTTAGGCAGGAGTGCTGATCTGCATGAGGATAGGGAGGCTCTACAGAGAGACTTGGATAGATTAGATCATTGGGCTAATGTTAATGGTCTGGGCTTCAACAAGGCCAAGTGTCAGGTCCTGCACTTGGGCCACAACAACCCCCTGCAACTACAGGCCTGGGGAAGTGTGGCTGGAAAGTGTCTGGCAGAAAAGGACCTGGGGATTCTAATGGACAAGCAGCTGAATATGAGCCAGCAGTGTGCCCAGGTGGCCAAGAAAGCCAAGGGCATCCTGGCTTGTATGAGAAATAGTGTGACCAGCAGAAGTAGAGAGGCAATTGTCCCCCTGTACTCAGCACTGGTGAGGCCACACCTGGAGTGTTGTGTCCAGTTTTGGGCACCTCAATTCAAGAGAGAT